CAGAAAGAAGACACAGCAGCTTTCCGACGGAAACTTATCCCCGAAACCCAACGATGAAAGAAGATCTGGAAGTAGAATCAGTGACACATCTGTAACGTCGGGAATTCCAGCCGCTCAGTGAAAGCATGGGTGTACCTGTGGCATTGTCACAGCAACCAGTACCACAAACAAGGCCGATAAACGAACTTTGTGTTCAGCAGTCCGCTGCGACTTTAAAGCAGCGACGAAAACAGAGAACGAGGAAGGAGTTAATGTCAATTTTATTTCAAGTTTTCGAAACTATAGTAATGTTTATCATGTACAGACGGCTGCTGAATAAAAGCCATAATCTGTCTAGTTTCAAAGTTAGAAATTATTGAGATCTGAGGGAGCAGTAAAAAGAGGAGTAGCATAAAGAGGAATAATGATTCGGTCCTTTAGAGTGGAATATGCCTCTTGATTTAAATTTTAAGACATATACACTGTGTTTACAGTCCAATTCTGTCATCAGGTCGTACGTATATCGGCTTTGCCGCCAACCATCTGCTTTGGCAGAGTAAACCTGTCTTGCAGGTCGTTTTTGTGCCGTTCTGGTCACACGCTCACACAAGTGTAAAAGTGACCCCTTTTTCTAAAAATCGCGAAGATTTTTTGCCATTATACAGTAAGGTACGAAAGGTGGATTTTGCCGACGAAGAAGGCTGTAGATCTTTTTCCAATAAGGCATATGAACTGAACATTATCGAGCATACGAACTGGTCCTGGTTCGCTCTTATACCAATGAAGGCATAACAGCTAACTTAGCGTCCATGTAGATCAAGAACATAACGATAACGTTTTTTAACGATCATATTAAAAAACTAATAAACAGACAGTTCGGTGGTTCCAGACACAAGGAAACAGACAGACAGAATTCTTGACTATAAGGGAGGATGTTTCATTGTTTCTTCTGAGGATGGCAAATTTAGTTCGACTGAATCGTTGAATGTTGTAGTCAGGACCACCGTATGTCTGTTTTCTTGTGTATGGGCAAGTAGTAAGTATGAGAGCAATAAACCGGCCATGCCACCAGAACGTTGTGAATTTCATTTAAAATGTAAATTACGCTGCAACTATCGCGAGACATACATGTGAGCCCATCATATTTTGCATTTCTGAAATGAACACTGTTTTCTGCCCAGGCAAATAAATTTGATTGTCTCTACTATCTAGGTATTTACTATAATGCCTTGAATCGGATTAGAATTTGAAATTTGGTTTTATCCCATAAAGAGACCATGCCGAAATCACGTCTGCTATAGAGGCTGCGTCAGTTAGAAAAGGAGCTTTGTGGTGTGCGTCGTCCACGTCTGTGAACATGTAGTCGCCTACTGATATTCCCACGTTGCGTGTCGTATTCTGTGGAATGCGGTCTAGAGTGTAACAGAACAGCGATGGAGCGAACACACATGTTTGTCTTATAACTACAGGGCTGGTCAGAAAACTCAAATATTCGACGTTCAACGCAAACCCTGACGACAGTGTCGATGTGAAGTCCTTAGATCAAGGCTAGTAGAGCTTTTGGAGTTGTCATACTGGAAAGCATCTTTCCCTGCACCTGTGCTAAATAAATCAAATGCCGCTCTGGTTTCAAAATAGGTTACCTGCAGAATTTCCCGAATTATGTGTGCATCTCAGACACCAAGCGGACAGTAAAGATCACATTTGCCGTAGATCGTCCTTATGTAAATCTTCTGCGGATTTGCAGCAGAGCACATATGCGTTAACAGCACAATGCCAAAGATTTTGCCAAAGAGAAATAGGTCAATAACTGTGACAGCCGGTGCGACGACCCTTATCAGTGTACAACAAAATAATGACAGACGACTTGCACTCAGATGGCAGGCAGCTTACAGCTGTTTTATACTGTAAACTGATCGCTTATGTCTATAGTTGAAAGACAAAAATGCTTAACAAATTCTGTATTACGCCAGCAAGGAAAATACATGTGACAAACAAAACTAATACGCGAACAATGACGAGATACAGTAACACGTTTTGCAGCTAATAAACATGTTCTGATGCTTGACTTCAGTAACAAAATAACGTACTTTTTTGGAAGTATGTTGGGAAAAATCAAATGAGCATTTTGCAGGAATATGTTCAACAGCGTGGGGCTAATGTTGAACACTGGTTGCAGCGCGGTGCTCATTTCGACCGCGGTCATTTTGTTGACATCTTGCTATAAAGGGACTCTTATTGGCGACGGGCTAGGCTGAAGCATATCCGTACATACCATTTTAATTACGCGCTGGATATGCAGGAAGAAGTAAGCCAAGACGTGCTTGTTGGGATCTGGAAGACGTTCGATCAGTTCGTTTAGTCGACCGAGGCATTCAGCGATGTTCTTGATCTCTTAAACCAATCGATAACGTACAAAGCCATTTTAGAATCGCTTAACGGTATCTCGTTTGATTATATCAAGAGAACCTTTGCTATTTCAAAAATAGCTGAATTAAACTTAAACTACTTTCCTTGTTTAGTGAATGCAGTATAGATGTACTTTTAACATGCACATATACTGCAGATAACGTATAAAACAGTAACACCGAAAAACGTATTTAGATTTTTCTAACTATCCACCAATTCGTCGATTTTCAACGGCCGCAAATTTTTTCGAGTTGAAAGGCAACAGATTCAAAAGGTTTTTTCGACGGTATCGAGCCCCTGCCACTATGATAAGCTATGGCTGGATGACAAGGAGTGACAACGTCAAATGGTCGATACAGTTATGCCATCTGACCTTCGTTCCGTATGTTGGCTGAACTCCGTGAAATAGTAATTTGCGAAAATCATTTTTGTGGCACCCTGATCACATGCTCATTTTTACAACTGCAGCAATAAATTTAGAGTCCATTTGCCTTTCAGAAGTAATCTAAAGCTTAGCAGGTTGTTAGTTCAGCACTAACCTTTGACGGTCATTTCGAACGTGCCGATCAAAGCTGCTGTAAACAGCGTTTCTGGTAGTTCGCGAATAAACATTTTCAGCACACAAGTAGCGCAGTGCACGTCCTGAAACTCCACCTCGCCGTCCATGCTGCCGACAGACTCGCGCAAACTCTCAACGATGTTCTTTTCCGGCGTCACTCGGTATATGCCTTCGACGGAGAGGCCTGAAAACTTAGTTCCTCACGCAAACGGTCCAATCGCCAATTACAACGAAAGATTACCTTTGTCGTTCACGTAGTCGATGCACTGTCGCACAACGGCAGGCACCGGCACGTTGTCGTAGCTCGGGTTGTTGCGCAGACATTCAGACAGACTGACGCCGAAAAGGGGACATGCGATCGAGGAGACGCTGGAATGAACCGGTGGTGTGGTTTCATGGCCACGGGACTTTGACTTGGACTTCAATCGGACACTCTTCACCTCTTTCTCTCTTTCTCTCGCCTTCTCCTTCAATTTTCCGAAAACCTTCGTTTTTTTAGGTTTCGACCTAAACGCGTGAAAGTAATAGCGATTAGTCACCTCTTGAAGATTTTTGTTTATTTTCCAAGGCAGTAAAATGTTCCAATGTTTTCGTTAGGACAAACATTTTGATACAGCAACGCACTTAGCATATTACTTCAATCTCATGCTAAATAATTATTAGAGAGCAAAGTAACATGGTCCTGAAACTCAAACCTCCTGCCCGAGTCAAGATGACTGGACAAAGTTCAACATAATAGAATGCTTGGTACGGCGAAGAACGGTGGAGTGCATTCTTCAGAGTGCAAGTACTTGTATTATGCTCGCTGAAGAGAGATCCTGTTCGATTCGAAACAGAATTTATTGTGATAAAATATATATAGGCGATATAAACCCTATGAAAATTATAACGATCAACATACTGTAGTAATTTAATAAAATAATAAACTATTGTATGAGTAAACGGATAGAGTATTTAGTTATTTAGTTCATGTGCCGGTAATTATACTGAAAAATAGCATCAATAGAGCTAGTTTTATACAGGGGCCGAAACGTTTTGACTGAACATCCTCCGCACTGTGGTACAAAATAAATTGTCACCATGTTACGAATAGTATATTAGTATATTACATGGTATAAAATATAATATACTGCAACGACTCCTCCAAGACCAGATTTTACGGCGTCTTAACCGCCACTTGTTACTAACTGCCTACGGAGCCACGGCTCCATGGCATTTCAGCACTTTCAGCGCATGCCTAAGAACAAGGGAACGGTGCAATACGCCGTCAGATCTAGTGTTAGAGGAGTCATGTGTTATTTACATACTCCGGCGTTCGAACAGTTTATGTTGCTGAACGGTATAATATAGCATATTATATAGCATCCACTACCGTACTGCATACAGAATAATGCGTTAAAATTCTAGACTAATCCATCATTTCAATTAACGACAGAGAATAAATAAATGGAATCAATTAAGCAAACTGGGCCTACACTTGAAGCATTCCGACAGTGTTGCAGTTCAACGGGTTGAAGGATGATTGATCACGTGCTGAAAGCTAGATATCAGAGATCTGATAAAATTATGGCATAGCTCAGAGATTTAAGAAGCGCATCAAGCAGCGTTGCAGAGAGCGGACTGATAAAAAATGCCAGCCCTTTTCCCTAGATTTCATTTATTTGAAACTAGTCACTTGAATGAGGTATACTGGACACAAACACAAGTCGTAGAACGTAATGGCGGAACCAGAGCTTAACCTGATGGCAACCGGGAGTATGGACATAGCCGTAAGTGCCAAAAAATCTTAAAAACCCTGAGAACCACACCACTTAAACCAGGGCAAATTCAGTTATTCTGGGAAAGAGTGTCGTTGAAGCTGCGTGTGGCTGGCTGGTCGGCTTCAGACGATGACGGCTGCGGCGTGACTGCATAAACAACATACACGTCAGATGAAGAACCGGCGCTGATGCAGCTGCGCATTGTCCAGCCTCTTCGCGTTGGGCTCGGTCAATCGATGGTCATCAATATCAGCCAACAGAAGAAGAAAACGACGACCGATCAAACGGGCAAAGACAGTGATGATGGTGACTAAGCGACACGACCGAGGATGAGGACGAAAGCGAAACGAAGGCGGGTGAGCGACGCAACACGAACACTGCGCAGAAACAACGACCGACCCAGCTAAGCGAACAAAGCGGATCGACTAGGTTAGTTCGGCTTTATTTATTCAGCTTCGAACCAACGCAACCAACCGGGATGGGTTCGAATCCGACCGACGGCATGAAGAATGAGCATCACTACAACGACGCTGATTCACAGTGAAGACTAACGATACCGAATGTACGGTCGCCGGTTGTGGTACAGAAACAAACGAACGCGACAATCTCTGGCGAGGAACCTGTTCGCCATGATCATCAACGTTTAGCGACTCATCGAGTCCTCATGAAAAAACCGTATCTTCTTGCCATCCGTCCGTCGCATGGCCCCATTCAAGCGGTCGTCCCAACAAATTAAGGAACCGGCAAAACCGGGCGAAACACTGATTTACTCAGAGTGGAAATCCGTCATCCACCAAGCAACAGCTTGAAGGACTCACTTATGCTTGACGTAACGGACTTTGTTGATAACGCATCCAGAATGATGTCATCCCAATGGCAATTAAAGCTGGAAATGTTAACCCAATGTAATTATATTTACTTTTCATAATTCATCAACATTCGTGGCGGAAAGGTGCCTTGTCTATACAGCCAATTCTTACAGTTCCTCCAGACTTCAGGCTTTCTATTGTGAGGCTGGTAAGTGGGCAAGTGCTTTTACTGCTTAGGTAAATTACGGCAATTTTTAGCCAACGTTTCATCGCGCAGATAAGATTACACACCTTATCCTCACATTCTGCT